TTTACCCCAGCTCCTCAAGGCCTTTGAAATCCAAATTTTTAAATGAGGGTTCTTCACTGCCAGCCTCTAAAGCTCTGGGTTGTTCTATTGTTTATGCATGATGGGACCTGATCCACAAACAGAAGCTACTACAACCCAGATTTGAAACATCTGGCAGTGAACAAGAAGTGAACTCTCCAGAGCAAATTGTAGAAATTTAAGGAGTTCTAAAAAAGTCATCCTGGATTCCTGGTATTAGTATATGTATGTCATTTAAATACAAGTCATTAAAACAGCAGTACCATTCACGTATGATTTGAATTGCTGAATATAATCTGATTTGCATGGACCTGAAGAGAATCCCCCTAATTCTCTTTCTCACATCCACAAACAGCAGCCTGCCTGTCCTGGTTAGAGACGGCTGCATTTGCAAACACTTCAGTCACACCTTCTCCAGGGAGCATAACAGAAGGAATCCTTCAAGGCCCGAGCAAGAAGCGAAAACAACTGGATGACTGGAGCGTCAGCAGCACAGGTTTAATGTGGCTGACAGTGGTTGTAAGCTGGAGCGCGGCCAATGTTTCTTATGAAGGTGCGATACAGTCGTCGCTGTCGCTTTGTTACTTGCCTTCAGGAAGAGTGAGGCAGAGAAAATTATTTATGAGGAAAATCATTTATTAATAGCTAAATTATTTATTAATAAACCTTGGGCAGTCATAATTGTTTGGGTTCATCTGTATGTCAGCATGGGACAATTATCTACTGAAAACTCTTAAATTTGTTGTGTTCTTCACTTTTCTCTGAGGTTTTGCCTCAATGTCAACTTCAATCAGCTCAAGCTGAATTCAAAGTGACTGATACCAAATGATTGCTCACACAGTTAAGTGGATAAATTGATAAGTCATGGATAAAATGCATCACTGACACACACATAAAGACCAACAAGCACACAACCAAACACACACAAAGGAAGAGGAAGACCTAGAATGAGTGCTGAGGCATTTGAAGGGAACATTTTGGAAATTCCTTCCATGAATGCTAAGACAGTGACAGCCAGATGCTGCAAAATGCTATGTTATCATCTGTTGAAGTAAAAGGCCAAGAGCGGGTGCAAATACACTGACAAATATGGCAGCATGGTGAGGAGTTTCTGTCTACTGCTAACACCACCCTTCCTTATTGGCAGAGTAGACACACCCAGGGCCCCACTAGCAGCATTTACAGGGTCTGAACTTGGCTTGTTCCTGTCTTTGAAGGGTGTATGTTGAATTCAAATAGAGTTTGATAGGTAGAAAGTGCAGGTCCAAAATACAATTGAGTATAAATAAACTGTGTTCTATAAACTTCAAAACTCCTCCACTCAGCAAGGGAGTAACCATTAAATATATGGATGTTTTTGAAAGTGCTTCATAAAATATGCATTTCAAGAGTGGCCAAACTGTTGCTATTTATGCCGAGTAACACACACAGGCTTAATATAGAGTAATATAAAGTAACCAGTAAACACCAGATAAGGTTTTCCTCGGGCTGTAACAGGGTCAGTAGTCAGAATCAAATCATTTAGGAATGTAATTATGTTCAATGTGAGATTAATATGGTGCATACTGTGTATGAGATATTATGTACCAGCCTCTGTTTGTTTGTTTTTTGTGGTCCAAAAACTGTCCATATTTGAGTCTAACAGCAGTCTGCTGGTGTAGTTATATTACTAAGATGTGACTGAATACTGTTGGTGAAACTGATGAAGCCTCTGGGATGAGCAAAATAGCTTAGGTAATCAAATATTAAAATAAATCAATACATATCTAGTGTTTAAAACATTTGCATGACTAAAATGAATGTAGACATGATGTTATAGTAGACCTGATACTGGTGCTTTGCTGCCGCCTGTTGGACTGCTGAGAACACTAACCCAAAATGCAGCATAAAAAGACTTTTCTTAGCCTCAGGCAGACAATAATAATCACCAAACACTGACAGTCTCTTTTATCCAAATTTATTAACAAGAAAAAGGGGAGTTTAAGAAGAAAGATTTTTAGTTTAGATTCATTTTTTTGCAGATTCCTCCTCCTTTGACAAGTTCTTGATGATCTCTTCTTTCTTTGCCAGGAGACGCTCTTCTCTGCGTTTGCGGGCCTCCTTTGTCTTTGAGCGGCGAGCTTCAGCCTGGTCACTGGGTGGGTAAAGAGAGGTGGAGACAGAAGAAAATTAATTCGACATACCACAGAGAACTAATGGAAAAAATGTCAATATATATATGGACGCTGCCAGAAAGACCAACTAATAATATAGCTTATTAAGTTACGGCAGGACAATAAAGAAAGAGTAACTTACGCCAGAAGCTTCTTGCGGGCCTTATCTGCCTTAAGTTTGTGGATGTGCTCCATCAGGATGCGTTTGTTTTTGAAGACATTACCCTTGGCCCTCAGATAGAGACTGTGGTACCTGGAGGAAACAGAAAACACCTCAGAGCGCCTCAAAGCAAAATGCCTCTTCCTGAAACTGGAATTAAAACGACACTGGATTTTTCACCAGCAAAGAACGCTGACATTCACACTCACATGTGCCTGTCAATTTTCTTCGACTCCCTGTAGCGACGAAGAAGACGACGTAGGATTCTCATGCGCCGCATCCATGACAACTTCTCTGGCATACGAGCATTGGCTGTACCCTTTCTCTTACCTGGGCAGGAGAAAAATGGTAAATTATAGTTATTATAAACAAAAATAAAACTGCTGCGTAAAATCTGTGAAAGGAAATACGGAAAAGGAAAGAGACATTACTTGTAAATCAATTACCCACCATAACCCATGTGACGTCCCTTGCGGCGTGCCAAAGTGTTCTTGCGGCAGCGAGCGCGGGAATGAACAGTCACAGGTTTTCTGATGATCAGCCCATCCTTCACCAGTTTACGGATCTGCTGGCCTGTGGTACAAATACAGCACATTATTGATGCTGGCCTATGGGGACGAGACAGCACACATCTACAGAGAGAGAACCTTCATTTGAAAAGTAAACTACTCACGAGAGTTTGCGTTGGCAATCTCATTGGTCTCGTTGGGGTCAAGCCACACCTTCTTCTTGCCACAGCGCAGGACGCTGGACGCCAAGCGCTTCTGGAGCCTGAGCATGCTGGATAAACAACGAGAGCATAATTAGTGTTGCAGGATGTGAGATACAAACAGTGCTAGGTAGCGTTTAAGATTCTTATACTTTTAAAAAAAGGGGGGGATGTGTATCAAAGCAGGTAGCAGTGTGTCACCTCATAGTCCTGTGTATAAAACACCGCTCTCAGCAGTGATGTCTATGTAGTATTGTATTGACTGAAACTGCAAAAGAATACCGTAGGTATAATTCAAATTTCTATTTGATCTTAAAGTATGTTAATGTTGTAGCTAAATACTTCTTTTACTTTATCACTACTAGCCAAAGTTGTTGGAGAGTGGCTTATTTAATTGGCTTTTTTCCAAGTCCCTTGAGGCCAATTGCGATTTGTGATTCTGGACTACATAAATAAGATTTGCTTGACAAAACCTGGATTACAAATAAAATAAAATCAATCAAAAAAGATATAAAAGACAAAAGTATTATCATTCTTTCCAATTCAAGGTATACTACTACCATAAAACTTTATTCTTGGACTACCAGTAATTGTTATGCCTTTGCCATCACCTGATGCCGATGTGACAGCACCGGTGAAAGTGCACCTGGCATTCAATTACCATTATTTCCTCTCATTTCTAATCCTACATCTTTAACCAGTAACATAAACGAACTAACAGGTTCACAGGTTTAATAAAACGTAGCAACAATTGATCAGCTGCCCATAAGAGGGGGCGGACTGATGAATGTTATTGAAGTGTACAATATTTTTTACTAGGACATAGTTCCCTGGTAATGTCATCGGGTTTGCCTTTAACTACCAGGCGTAAAATGGAAAAGCACAAAATAAAAACGCCTGACACAAAGCAATACTAACATTAGCCCCTTATTACCCCCCATATTTGGAAAGCGTGAGGACCAACTATACGCTATACGAGACCTAACCAAATTACTATATAGTTAACTAGCTTAGTTAGTTTATTTGACTGACTTTATTGAGCAGCTTGTTCCACAAACACTGGCCGACTCTTTAAAACACTGTACTGTTGCCAGCGGACAAGGACCTGTGGTGTTTCAGTGACATGTTGTGACATGTCTTCTTGAACTTAGCCAGGTTAGCTCTCCAATATAGGCCCTAACGCTATGTGCACTCTGGTAGGAATAAGCGATTTTACTCCAAGTCGAACCGAGTGCGAGTCTCCTTACTTGCCTTAAATGACAAAGCCAACAGCCCTATATATAGTTTGCTTAGAGTAAAAAGGTATATTTAAATATCAAACGTGTCGCTCACCTCATGGCTCCCGCTAGCTTGATAGAAACGAAGGAAATAGAACGTCCGAGTCCCTACCATTATAGATATCGTCATAGGTGACACAATTGTTGGCAGAAATCGTAAATATAGCTACTGGTTGAGTAGTGACAGTAAGTATTCAACTGATGTGTGAGTTTATAATATTTTTTTGTTATATCTACGGTTTACTGTGCCCCAAAAGTCATACTGTCATACTGAGTTTAATAATCGACCCCCGCTATCATAGCACAGTGGTACGCTCCAAGAAAAGGCATTGTAAATATCCGACCGCTGGAGGACGCAACACGTCCATGTTTTTGATGAACTGTAATTTTTTTTTTTTTAAAGCTTTGTTTTTTTCTGTATAAGACTAGGTTTTCTTGTTTTTTTGTGATATGTTGTTTAATTTCTTTTAACAGGAATACATTTTTTGTTCGTTTTTTTTTTATCACAAAACCCAAACAAATGACAGGACTTCAAAATAAAAGCGCAATTTTTATTTTATTTTTTTAAAGCGTCAAACCAGTTATTTGAAACACACACATATATATGCCTTATGCCACAAAAAGAGAAAAAAAAACGTCGGAACCCAGCAGTTCCAGACATAAACACGATTTCAGTGCCGCAGCTGATGCAGTGTGGTCAGATTAGCGGAGTGCTGCCCTCTCCCGGCTTCTGCCACACCGACACAATAACAGCCTCTCCTGTCACGGAGCTGCATGACAGAGCCGCCCAGTCCTCTGAGGAGTGGGAGCTCTCGCAGGGAGACACCGGACCTCTTACGGGACCCAAACGACTGGCTGCAGTTGAGTTTTGTCGACGGGTTTTATTTCTGAGATATGAGTCAGCGCAACACAACATTCACGGTAAGTGAGATGTCGTTTCTCGCGAGCCCCCGTGGTGGGGGGGGGGTAGCGTGCTAGTGCTAGCTACATCGTCAGCGTTGAAGTAACTGCTACTAAATGCCTCGTGCGTTATTGTCATGGAAACAATAACTCCGTTGCTACATTAGCCCTCACGACGCCGTTCACACATTTGTGACCGATGAATAAAACATCTAAGACGATTTTTTTTAGTGGCACGACCTCCCGTTAGCCGGTTAACTTTACGTTGACATTGAGTTCAAAGGGGACTCTTGCCCAGAATGGGATTTTTTTTTTTTTTTATTGTTTTACATCTAAGTTAACCTTGGCTTGTCATGTCTGCCCCAGTGACATTAGCTGATCCGTTTAACATCAAACGCACGTAACGCTAATTGTACTCCAGTTCCAGGTATCGCGAGTTCCCTTAAACCCTAACATCAAGGTTTGCCTCATGAGGCTCGACAGCATGCCAGGCAATGTGCAACACAAACCGCACAAGTCATCGGTTTAATAGCTTAATACGAACCTCCAAATAAAGCTAATAGAGCCGTGTAACCAGGAGATTGCAGCTTTAGCCAATTAAAACGGTGCTTTTTTTTAACCTTGTGGCCGAGCAAGCCAGACGTCAGGCTGCCTGGTTTGTGCCATTGTTGTCTGCACGGCTAGTTGTCTGCACCCCATCTGTCACAAGACTTCTGCTGTTTGACCTGCTTATTGCTTACTGGTTACAGCTCGGAGCTTGTGAGATGGATTAACCCCAGTCCTGTACAGTGTGCAACAACAGGGATGTTTTTAAAGATAGATATAATGTGGTACAGTGGGGTAATGAGCTGGCTCCTCCTGAAACATGCTTTATACATTAATTCTGATGTTTGTCCAGTATCATTTGGTAATTAGCAGGTTGTGGTGTTTTATTCTTGGTATGTTTCTTAATTATAAAATTACTAACGGAATAAAATAATAGAAAACATATATATATATATATATATATATGTTTGTAGTGTAAAGATCCAAGCCTGCATTGGCTGATATGGGTGAAATATTACTTCTTTTTTATTACTACTTGTATGTGCTTCCTGGTGCATTCCTAAAAAGTATCATCATATGTCATCTGAACTCTTATGCGGACACTTGATCAGAGTTATTTGAAGGATAAGCAGGATTTTACATACAAATATATATATTTTCCTATTTGAAGACTAAAAAAGTGACAATCTAGCCTAGTCTAACGTTACATTAGTCAATATATCTACTTGCATGGAAACTTTAATGTTTCATTATGGCTACCTTCACCTGTTACCTAACCCCCACAGCTCCTCATTCCTCGACTTGTTTGTTTTGCTTCCAACAAAGTCACCCCATCAAGTGGAGTACTCTCGGTCATTGACCCCTTTGAAAACCCCGTTCCCCCTCATCAGTGTGCGTATCGCCTACAACAGGACGTTGGCTCAAAGTGCATTCATTCTCCGCTGGATACTAGTTAGGCAGGAACATTTTGCCCTCACGTCTGCCGCCTCCGTCAGACTTATTATTCGCAGAAAGACGGATGTACACTGTCGCTTAACTGACACACATTATGATGTTTTGTCTGAAAGCATTCATTCATAAAGTGACTCACTAACCTATTTCCAAACTAATGAGAGGCACTGGCCATGGTGTTTTCTGTTAATTACCATTGTACTCTTTTTGCACTTTGTGTCAGAAAAGCAGTTCATTGGTAAATAATATCACAATTTACATTTTTAGAGGATTTTAGTTACGATCTGTTGCTCCCATTTGCAGTTAGTGAACAGGGCTCCAGTCAAGTGTCTTTCAGCCAGCGCTGCAATGTTCAGAATGTGGGAACAAACAAGCCGAACTGCAGCGGCCACCTCATTCACCTGCTAATAAGCAGACAGAAAACAACTGGTGAAACAAGAGGCAGACTGGGGCAAAAGTCTTTGTAGGTATTTGGGGCCCAGATGCAGAACACCTCCATTGTATAAAAGGTTAACAAGACAGTAACCAGTTTAGTGTGGGGTCATAATGCGTGATGTGGTTAGTTTAGGTCACATAATCTTTAAAGCTACATCATCACATACTGTCAGTCAAATAAATCAATTATACAAACATCTAAAAACATTTAGTCTACAGATAATATTCAACAAAGACAAAGTGTCACATTAGAGGCATATACAAAGGAATTAAACAAATTAATTCTCTTTTAAACATTTAGCCTCCCTCTATGTTAATTCTGTTTTGATTGCAGCTTCATTTAGTGTATCTGAAGTATCTGAAGTTGAGAGTGCAATACCTTTTTAAGTATGTTTCTTGGTCAAATATTTATAAAATATCTGTCTTTTCAGGGCAAACACTCCTGTTATAAACTTTGAGAAGCCATTTAGAAGCTGTTAACTAGTAGTTGTGCGGTACACAGCAAAGATGTATCCACTGGCATATTTGTATTTTGTACGCACAAATCAACTGCAGAAAAATAATGATTACATAGTTAACTAACCTGTAAGGCACTACAGAAGAGCTACAGCAAATACAATAGTGTCTCATCCTAAAGCTCCTCATTGTAAAAGAGTACGGGCTCTAGTTCATCAGATCAAGTGTGTGCTGTGTACTCAGGAAAACTGTCTTCTGATTAACTGATAACTGCGAGTGTGATGTAACTCCAGCTTCTATAGATTAGATTATTTATTAATTAAGATTTATGAATATTTATCTTAAATAAAGAGCAGTACAGTTTGATAAAGTTCATTGAAACTGAAAATATGTCTGAGTATGCTCGAGTGGCTCTTAAAATGAGGAAGGCTTTGCCAGACCTGTGAACTGTAACATACCAGTATTAATAATAGCTCACTAGCAGAAGTGTCACTCATGAAACAAGTAGAAGTATTGACCTAATGATTAGATTGGCAGGAAGGAAGTAAAACTAAAACTGATAAATAAATCCAGTCATTTAATTTGCATAATAGGCTTTTATTTTGAGTAGGCCTATAACCTGTTCTCATAGGTCATTCTGTCTCAGATGTTTCGATGCACAATACTTTCTGCTGTCAAATTGTTCAAACCTCAGACCAACCCCTGAATTGTATTCTGGGGACGAGTGGAACAACGTGACCTTGACATTAGTCAGAAAATCTGGCCTAACAAAGCAAACAGGTGTTAAGTGAGCCAAACTCATACTAGCAGGGTGATGAATCATGTGGGAGGATCCTTCTTCAGCTTTACTGTGGAAGGGAGACCGGTGACATCCAGTTCCTGCTCAGTTCTCCTGCACTCAAAATGCTTAGAGGCAGATGTATGATCTGACTGACTCGTGGTGCCACACACAAAAAGTGAATTCAAATCTTGTAATAGGCCATGCTCTATCTTAGAGAACTTGCTATATGATATGATATGATATCCCTTTGTCTTGCCAGCTTTCCAGCTAGTGGTGTGTGATCTGGAGAGAGAGGAAAGGACAGCAGAGAATATGGAGGTGTCAGATGGTTTGTTGCTGCAGGTCAATAACGGAGAACAGTGGTGTAACCGCTGGAAACATCCCAATGATGACTCGGTAAGCCACGGACCCAGATCCACAATTTATGTTCGTAATGCCATTAGACATTATCATCAGCATGATATATCTTGTCAGATCATAGGTGTTTAATCTTGTCTTAGCATGCATGTGTTCCACAGAACAGGTTGTGTTATGTGTATAATGTTACTCCTGTATCTTTGTATTGATGTTTTTTTTTTTTTTTTGGGATGTGTTTCAAGGACCGCAGCACCAGCCCCTCGGTCCTGCGCTGCGTTGCCAGTACGTGGAAGGAGGGTCTTCTGAACAGAAAGAGGCCCTTTGTGGGCCGTTGCTGTCACTCCTGTACACCACAGAGCTGGGTAATGTTACACCACAGCTAATTAACTTCAACATAATTTCATTTGCTAAAGTCTAGTCTGATCGATATGCAGTGTACAGCACCTGCCAAAAACAATTTATTGTTGTTTTTGAAGACGTGAAGTGCAATCTTATTTGGTACGTTTTTAAAAGATGCTACAAACATTGGCCATATACCATAAGTTACCAACAGGCATTTAAAAAAAAAAAAAAATTCAAAATGAGTAGTACATTAATGTGTAACCAACTAAATGAAATGGCAGCAGAAAGGCAATTTCTTCCAGCACAGACCGGACTTACTTTTAACCTTTAGTCCAGTCTTATCTCAGTCAGTATCTCAAGATCAGCTGAACAAGTTCCGGCTTGCTCATCTAGAATGCAGAGACTTGCTTGCAAGACTCGTCTCGTCAAAAGACAACAAGATACAATTCTGTGTACCTTATGTGTTCATTCCTTAATTTTACAAACCCATCTGTGTCTCTAAGGCTCTAAGTTGAAGTTATGTTGCTGATTCAATAATCATTGTGCTTTTGGTCACAGGAGAGACTGTTCAACACCAGTATTCCATCTCTGGGACTGCGTAACGTCATCTATATCAATGAGACCCACACCAGGTAAACAGAGGAAAATCTGCTCCATTGCAGTATCACTTCCTTACACTTTATTTTTGTTTGAACAGTCCATTGGCCCGACAAAAGGGAACCTATTCAACTTTCAAAAAACTACACATTTGCTGGTTGGCTTTCACATGTTGCCTTGGCATCTGATGACCCTTAAATTGCACGCTGCACCAAAGAGCTCCTCCTGTATAGTACAATCAATACAGTGCAGTCAGGTGCTGGCTAGATGGCTTTAAGTCAGGAGGACCGTGGAAGCAGTGGAAAGATGGACAGATGAATAATTTAAAATGTTTGTCTGTGGACACCGGACACATGCATCTAGTGACTGACCTTAGCAGTAAGACACCTTTATACCACAACACCAAGCAATATAAACACGAGCAAGTCAAAGGCACTCCTTTGGATAGATGTACTTTAATGAAGGCTATTTGCTATCATGCCCTGAACTTCATGGGAAAAACTGCAAGAAGTTTATATCTCGTTTTATTCTGCAGTGTATTAGCATGTAGACAGACATCCTGCAACCAAGATGAGCTAAATTCACTATGGACAAGTTAGTATTGTTAGTTTTGTCTAACACAGTGAGTATTGTGTTGATTATAAGCTCAGCAAGGTGGAACAAAACTGCCATTGTCGTTGTTGAGAAAGCTGTGTGTAATGAATATGTGAGCCACAGCGGATCTCTGGTTCTTGAAAATGTGTTAAATTACCAGTAAATCAGTCTAACCAACAAAGGCCAAGTTTTTTTTCTGACCGTTCTTCAACTGATCAGTCAAACTATTCCTTTTATATTGTGAGAGATTGTATGTGTGAGAGAGATTTTGATCACATATATTTATATTAACATTTCTATATCACATATTCTACAAATGAAATCTGTTAAAGCATTAATTAGTGTATCCATTCATATGGTATATTTGAGAATGTGTTCTCTTCTTTACATGTTTTTGTGTATACATTGCTGTACATGTGTATCTGTGTGTGTGTGTGCTCATGCAGACAGCGGGGCTGGCTGGCGCGCAGGCTAAGTTATGTGCTGTTTGTCATGGAAAGAGATGTCAACAAGGACATGTTCACCAGGAATGTAGTGGACAATGTGCTCAACAACAGCAGGTGAGAGTTAATGTAACATGAGACCTTTACTCAAAGTACAACTGAGCATCATGAGAGTATGTAGTGACCCCTTGAGCAACATTAGTACCGTATTATTAAATTACACAGGGAGTGGAAACACTCAACTAATAACATTGGGGGATAAAGTGTTCAAAAAATTGTATGCCTTACGTATGTGCTGTGCTTTCGCCCATGGCAGTGTGGAGAGTGCTATTGTGAAGGTAGCCACAGATGTGGACACTGCAGCCAGCCAGCCTGGCCAGGACCACAAAGCTGTCAGTAAAGTGAAGCAGAAAGCCAGGGCCTTCCTCCAGGAGATGGTGGCCAACATTTCACCAGCCTTTATCAGGTATATACTGTGTACCAGAAATCTCTCTTCAGTTGCTTTTCAGCTGGGTTTATAGGAATATTGTAGCACATTAACACAACGTTTTGGGAAGACCTTAGAAAAGACTCTTTACATTATGTTTCATTTCACTAAAATGGACTAGATTCTGCCACAGCTAGACTCTTTGTTTCTGTTCCACATCTTCATTTTCCTTCAGGCTGACGGGGTGGGTCCTCCTGAGGCTCTTTAACGGCTTCTTCTGGAGCATCCAGATCCACAAGGGCCAGCTGGAAATGGTCAAGAAAGCAGCTACGGAGGTCAGCAGCAACTACACACAAAGAAAAATGGATTATACTGTCACAATATGATCTGATGAGTGACAGTTAAACGCAAGCAGTACACAAATACATTTCACAAACTGACACAATAATGTGCTAACACAGCTTTTTGTGTTTCATGTACACAGTCTTACTTTGTGTGTTTATTATCGTTTTTATTAACAATGCAGTCTTGAATGGCGATCATCATAATACATTTCTAATGGATACATGGACTAAAGTTTGCTCCTAAAGTACATATCCATATGCATATCAATGGTCTTTGTTTATTTTAAAATGATCTATATCTTGTCTTTACAGCAAAATGTACCCATGGTCTTCCTCCCTGTTCATAAATCCCACATTGACTACCTGCTCATCACGTTGATCCTGTTCTGTCACAACATCAAAGCCCCACACATTGCTGCTGGAAACAACCTAAGCATCCCTATCCTCAGGTAAAAGGCCCATGAAGTCTCATGTCAAGTTTGATGTGTCAATAAAGTGAATTTCTCCTCTCTGTAAGTTAAAACACTAAGATCAGTTTGATATTACAAGAAAGGGAATTCTTTAGAAAATTGATCAGAGAGGAATGAAAGCTGAAATAAAGAGTGAGACTAAAGACTGACTGATTTTACAATGACAACAGGTTGTAAACCTGATTTATCCTAACTTGCTTCAAATAGCAGGTTAGTAGGTTCAGCACAAACAAAATGGTCTATAAGTAAAGGCTGCAAACTGGCTTATTCCAAATTGTATGAAACCACCCATGTTCATCTGTCAGCAACACGTTGTCAAATTTATTACTCACAATAATCACAGTTCCTAAAGAGGAATCACTATAGCAAAGTGATTCCTCTTTAATCATAGGGACACCATAACCAAATTGCAGCCAACTAAAAATGATAAGGACACCACTGCTGCCAGTGTAGAACGTTTTTTCGACTTTCTTTGTTTTCAGCACCCTTATCCGTAAACTTGGAGGGTTCTTCATACGACGGAAAATGGAGGAGACCGGGGATGGGAAGAAAGACATTCTGTATAGATCACTCTTGCAAGCAGTAAGTCCCAATAGTCTATTTATCTTCTACAGGAAAGGCTGGTTTAACATGCAGTTCTTAAATTCAGTGTTCAGTTCATGTGTGTAGTGTGTGTGGGTTTTTGTCTTAGCATGATTTATTATGTAACTGCGGGAGATCTTCATACTTTTCTGCTCTGCGCTTTTTATTCCCTGAGTGATAGAGAGCTAAAAGCCTCTGTTACATAATGTTAGCCCACCTCCTTCTTTTTACTGTCTGTCTGTTCTTTAGTCATACTGTAAAATCAGTCTTTGCAAAAATCTATGACTCAATTTAACACAATAGCATTTTACTTTTTAAACATTATTTAGATACTATTACTATCCTGTAGCAGTGTCTAAGTAACTTCTGTAAACTTCTCTAAAACTTCTGCTGTAGAAGTAAGATATGATCATACTATATACTGTTAATTTTACTCGTTTTAATCAGTTTAAACATCTATCATACTTGACATATTGTTAATAATCACATTTATAGGATTACATGAAAGGTAGTAGTGGGGTGCCAAGGCTGAGTCCTTGCTGCAGCGGCCCAGGGTTCGAATCCGACCTGGGGCCCCTCTGCTGCCTGTCATCCCCTCTCTCTGACCCCCTTTCCTGTCTGTCTCCAGCTGTCCTATCAAATAAAGGCATAAGCCACGAAAAAAAAAATACTAAAAAAAAAAAAAATGAAAGGTTATATCTATTTATAACTGCAGTGCAAAGGGATTTGAGTCCTGTGACTGGTAAAAGTGTGAAAGGATAATCATTTTAGTGATGATTTTGCTTTCCAAATAACCCAGAAATATCTGTACAATGTAAAATGGCTGACGTATTGTTTATGAGCATTTGTAAATGTATAGTAAAAAGTTATTGTTTTGGTAAATCCTTTAAGTCTTTTCAGCTATGGCATTGGGTAGAGTTTATTTCCCCCCTAATGTGTGCACTTTGCATCTCAAGTAAGTCACGGGTACAAAAACTGACTGAGTGAAAATTTGGAGGCTGATTAAAACTGGAATCTGCATTAATGCAGCTCTAGTATTTGGATAATGTGGCTTAACAAGCTTCTGCTAATGAGAAAACCTGAAGTATAACTAATGTGGATGACTACTAGTGTTGATATGAATGCTTTGTCATCATAAGCTACTTGTAGCATGTAGTTTCTAAATGTGCTTTCCACTAAATAGCTTGGCTGCTTAGTGGATTAACTTAATTGCACCAGTCTATCAGACTAGGTAATTGCTTTTAATTTGTATGTTTGGAGTTTGTGGAAGAGAGTTAAGAGTAATGATGAGTGAAAATGAATGAGTCGGCAGTAATGAAACCAACAAAGGCTGTGTATTGTACGGCTAAGATAAGTGTGTATTGTGGCCCTCAGATAGGAGTTATCAGCTGAAGACATGAGCAACTGTTGGAAGTGATGACCTGCATTTCATCCCTTTGTACCTCCGATATTTCACCACACATCCCACTGAACAGAATTTACAATTCTGTCAATGTAATTGTAGAAAGTGGGCCACTTAATACCTAAATTTCAGGGGAGATAAGACTTTAATCTGGCATGCGCATGTTTCTCACAGAAAGGTAATTAGCCGAACTCCTTCACAGGCAGAAGTGCAGGCAATAGAAAAAGAAACCTTGTGCTGCTCTAATTTCAGTCGCTCCTGTGAAAGCCGAACCTGGATGTCTGTTCTTATCACGGCTTACTCTAAATGCCACAGGCTAGAGTCCATTTCAGTATAAAGCCTCTCTTCTCAAAAGTGTCTGCATAGCAAGAGACAGCTGTGTGCATACTGTGCTCAGCCAGATATCATTACACAACATGGCTTCCTTGGCACGTGCCCAGTTCTCTGCGGTGTATTTGGGGGTCAAACTTTTGTTGACCGCTCATTTTAACTCGTATTCAGGCTGCACACTTTACGTGACACTTCCACCTCGTGATGGAGTCACTGTCTTTGCAGCAAATTGCATTTTCATCAAAAGTATTATGACCTTTACGCACTGTATATGCACATTTGTCTCACATTTGACATCCAGTGCAGCCTTTTTTTCATTCATCTTAATCCCACCATTCTCACTTCAACCTTTGCCTCTGTGTTTCATCCATCTTCCCTCAGTATACAGAGGAGTTGTTGCGTCAGCAGCAGTTTTTGGAGGTCTACCTAGAGGGTACCCGCTCCCGCAGCGGTAAGCCATCTACAGCGCGTGCAGGCATGCTGTCCATCGTGGTAGACACACTGTACACTGGGTCCATCCCAGACGTACTGGTGGTGCCAGTTGGCATCTCTTACGATCGTATTATTGAGGGCAACTACAATAGCGAGCAGCTGGTAAGTGTTTAGATCATCTTGGTCGGATGTTTGTGTACTTTTGCTCTAGCAACAAAGCTGTTTTCCTCTACTAAAAACAGAATAGATATTGTAGTATTTTGGAAATTAGGGGATAGAAGGCTTTGTTTCTTAGTGGGATAGATGACTTTAACTGCATCATCATACAGTTTATGTTTCTATTATTAAGTCTTTTTTGTAACCATCTGAACTCCTCAATCCCACCAGGGCAAGCCCAAGAAGAATGAGAGTTTGTGGGGAATAGCATGTGGAGTGTTCAGGATGCTGCGTAAGAACTACGGTTGCGTCCGAGTTGACTTCAACCAGCCCTTCTCCCTCAAGGTGACTGATCAGAGATGACATCAGCTTTTACACAAATAGAACTACAGCTGTTATGGCCACATGTAGCCAGAGAAGCTATTACAGTAATAGATTTCAGGTATCACTCTTGATTTTAAAGCAGTACAAAGTGTTGCAATGCTTCAAAATGTAGGTTGTATGTGGGCTTTCTTTTGGTTTCTCAACATATTTATTGCAAAAAAGTGAGAGTGAGAAAATACTAAATGTGGCTTATATGGAGTTTAAAGTTTGACGTTTCACTCTGGTTGTCTGTGTGAGTTTGTATTTTAATTAACCCTTTGTTTGTCAAATGTAGGAGTACCTGGACTCCCAGAGAAGCCGCCATATTCCACCACCAGTGTCCCTGGAACACACCTTGATGCCCACCATAATTTCTGCTCAGTAAGGGCACACACACCAATCTGACAGTCGGTTATATCCTCCTCGGACAAGTGCATATGCACACACCAGCAGTCCCACAGTCCCACCTGTAATATCATGAACCCTCATGTCACAAAGTTGACTTCTCCCTCCTGCTGCATCACAGCAGGGTCTGTTATCTGACATCTGAGCACAGCTCTTGAGTTAGCATTGGCAAGGGTCACGTCAGTTCAGCACTGTCGCTTCATAATAACACTGATACAGTCATACAGGACATCCACAAGGACAGCAACGTTTCACCCAGCTGGCCTGGAGTCACAAGTTTCGATCTCATGCCAGAAGAGCCGAGTGAAAACTATCTGGACAAACATTACAAATACTATTTTATAAAAAGAGCCCTACGGAATGTATAGTAACACTCCCAGACTAAGTAGTAGCCTGTCCTGTCTTGAAAATATATGGCACAGTTGGCTGAGGTGGTTAATGACTGCGCTGTAAGTCTGGAATTAAAAGGAGTGAGCAGAGACAGCCACGGGTTCATGAGGGTAATCGTAAACTGATAATCACATTTGGCAAGATTAACTTTACTAGGTCTTTAGTGGTGCTTCTTTTAAAACACAATGGGGAGTTTGTTTGCAGCATAAAGCAAATATGCAGAACAGTAGAGCACATGGCAGGGGGTCAATACTACCATCTAAATATTAAATTAAAATGTATATTGCTTCAATCATTTGCTATAGTGCTTATGTTTTCTCACCCATTAAGTGGTATATTTTGTGAAATGAACACCATCCTTTTAAATTGTGCTTACCACATCAAGCTGGCATACTAAGACAGTGGTCAAACTATATGTTTATATGTTGGGTTACTATTCTTTCAGACCTGATGCTCAGCTGTTTGAGGGGCAGGAGGAGGAGCAGCTGAACAGAGAGCTGCCTGATGACATCTTGAGACGACAGGTCATTAACAACCTGGCCAAGCACGTCCTCTTCAGTAAGGAACTCACAACCCCTCAGCCAGTGGATTTGCTACACCCACAACTATAGCCCTGTTGCTTATATTATTTAGCCATCGTTATCAGCCTTTTTATATTTTTAGTTTGTAGCATAGAAAGACATGTGACAGAGGTCATGAATCCTCACAATGCTCTTTCTATTCAGAGTTTTCCATCCCGGATGCCACATTAAGCTAAATGTCATATGGCACTATTTGTCCTGTCACATCTCATTTATTTTAAATATTGGAGCACATTTGCTGCTTTATTAGTCCTACCCTCTTTTATATTCTTTTCCACTTGCATCTCCTTTTCATCCTGTGTTTTAAGGTGCACCTGCTTGCAAGAGCTAAGGCAGAATTCATAAAAATACTACTCATTCTACTGCCTTTATTTATTTAAATCCTACACAGCATCAGTCCATCCATTTCACATCACTCGGGGCTTTTTGCCCCAAGGTAGCACTACAGAAACCGGTTCTCCCTAGTTCATTCAGCTGCATTCTCCTACCCTAGGCCTGTTCGCTTTTTACTCTCAGCCAATCACAAAGCCTCCAGCTGGATGGCATGTTGTTTTCAGCCAATAGGATAAAGGGGAGGATAGAGAAGCAGTAGAAGGGAGGAATGCAGTACCAGTGCTCACAAATGTTTTACATCCCTGAACTATGCTCAAGATGACCACTAGTAACCTTTGTCCCATGACATGTGCGAACACACACAGACACACCATTATTTTCTTTGTCTGTCTAATATGTTATCATTATAATAAACTCTTTTTTACCTTTTGTTTAGTTAAAGAAAGCATCATATCTAATTACCCAAGACAAACCTGGTACATTGGATATTTTTATATGCTTGAGAACTTTATTTCAAGACAGTAAGATATATTATTAAAAATATGGGTTACAACATATGGTTAGTCATAGATTGTCAGTGAATCTGTACGTACTCTTTTAGTTGTTGTCATAACCCCCACCTCTGTCTGACATAAGAGACTTCCAACTCAGATGCTTAACAGCAGCATAGCATTCATGTGTTTTTGTCTTGTAAATGAAAAAGAATAAATATTTAGGAATATTGCAGCAGTTACTCTTAGAGTCTAAACATATCGGTCAATACCAGACGTCTCTGCTTTGATATTGTCGTCAGTCTGTTTTGTGTTGCTCATTATAGTATCTTCTTTGTGTCGCCCCTCACAGCGGCTAATAAGTCCTCAGCGATCATGTCTACCCACATTGTAGCCTGTCTGCTGCTCTACAGACACAGACAGGTAAGTCTTGCTGTTTCTCATGTCCTCTATATAACCTCCACTCCTGGCACTTAGATACTATATATACTGCACCCTCTTCCCTTTTCCCATTTTTCTTCAACCATCTGTTCCTCAGTCTCTTTTTGTCTTTTGTTAATTTTTTGCCCCTCACACTCCCTCCCTTACACCAGGGTGATCCAAATGTCAGAAACCTCTGCATGGTAGCAGTGAATGTGTCTCTCTGTTCTGTCTCTTTCTCTTCCTGCATCTTCTCTCCACCACCTCTGTACATTAGCGTTGGGCCTCTGCCCTCTGGAGGCACACTGATGTACTGTAAGTGGGTGACAGTGGAGAACAGTTACTGAAATTGTCTTTCTGTCTTGAGGAATTGGCCTGTGCTGCATTTAACTCAAGCCAAGTCTAGTGTTTTGTTGTACTGAGTCACCAAATTCTGGACATGAGCCACGTTTCTTTCTTCAAATATTTGGAGCTTGTGTTTTTCCTCTGCTTTGCTCCAGGGGGTGGTGCTGTCCAAGCTGGTGGAAGACTTCTTCAACATGAAGGAGGAGATCCTGTCACGGGACTTTGATCTGGGCTTTTCTGGGAACTCCGAGGATGTGGTCATGCGTGCCCTCCACCTGCTGGGAAACTGCGTCAACGTGACCAGCAGTGCGAATCGCAATGGAGAGTTCACTGTTGCACCAAGCCAAACTGTACAAGCGCTTTTTGAGCTCAACTTCTACAGCAATGGCCTTTTCCATGTCTTCATTTCTGATGCAATCATCGGTATGTTGAGCCGAGAAGATGATCTTGTGTTGTGCGCTCACTCTGGTGTGTCACTGATATTTGCCTAGATGTTAGAATATTTCTCTATTTCTAATTTCTTTATGATTTATCTCCAGCCTGCAGCATCCTGTCGCTGCAGCGGGAGCTGGTTGCGGAATCAGACTCTGATCACCAGCCCAGTTGTCTCAGTAGCCTCCCTCTCAGTCAAGAGAGACTCATCCGCAAGGCCGCTGGGCTCTCCCACTTCCTTATCAATGAGGTGTCTGTGGCGCCAGTAAGTCCTGTGCATTGTCACCAGCTTTCTAAACTTTGAACTGTACAAAATGAGTCCAAAGATTTGGAAGTAAAACACCAACATGTCTCTATTTGCTCAATTGAACTGTTTGGTTGTTGTTCCTATTGATGTTGTCAAGGTTTTAAACTGATTTTAAACACAACTCCACGTGGTTTGTTTCATGTTCCTTTCCCTCTCCTCCTCTCTGTCCCACAGCCCTGTCAGACTATTTACCAGGTTTTTCACGATGCAGTGACCCGGCTGATCCAGTATGGAGTTCTCTATGTAGCAGAGGTCAGTTTACAGACATGGTGGGTTAACTATAATTGTTTACCCTATGTGTATGGCCCAGATGGTCTAATTTGTGTGTTTCTGTGTGTGTGTGCCAGGAGGACCAAGAGGAACTGAGTCCCAGCCCCACAGAGGAACCGTGGCCCAAAAAGTTCCCCGAGCCCCTTTCCTGGAGAAGTGACGAGGAGGACGAGGACAGTGACTTCGGCGAGGAGCAGAGGGATCGCTACCTAAAGGTCTAGATAATAATGCGTATTTAATAAGACTGTTTTTAACAGTTTTATTTAAGCCAACAGAACCACCACAGTACCAACTTCTAGACTAACTGGCTTTTATCCCTGATTTTTATTTTTATTTTTTGTTAATCAGGTGAGCGTTTCTGCAGAGCACCAGGAGTTCTTCGTCTTTTTACAGCGACTTGTGAGCCCCGTGCTGGAGGCCTACAGTGGGGCCGCCATCTTCGTCCACAGTCTGAGTCAGCCCATGGCTGAGTCTGACTACACCCAGAGGCTCTTCAGATACCTGCTCACCCGCACAGAGAGAGGAGTGGCTGCTTATGGTAATACTGCAATATTTCTCCCACATACTGTATGTACACTTTAGGGAAAAAAAATATTTTGGAATAAAAAATGAAGGTCCATTGTGTAATTATTCCATACAGTATCCTTTAATAATTCAAAGAAAAGTCATTATTTAACCACAAAAGTTACTGGAACTAATGTTCTAGCACTAGATTTATGCCATGGACGCACAAGTCTTGGCTGTTTCTTTATAGTTATTCTTAATGCCTGCCACCTGGTCAGATTCCCCTTGAAATCAATGAAACAAGGTGTAGAAACACTTGTGCTTTTTTCCACAAGAGTCCTCAGAATCAACACAAAATGAACACACTTGTAGAGGCTTTAGCTATGAATTACTATGAGCTAGTAACATTTAAAAAAAATAAAACGTCAGTCACAATCAGGTTTAATTAGTATTTCTGACTCCTTTTTTTACAGGTGAAAGTGCAACTCATTACTTGGTTAAGAACACAGTGAGGACATTCAAAGAGCTTGGGGTAAGTTTAAATTGTGGATTTATTATAGGTATTAAAATACAATACGGTTTATATTTAGAGTAGTCTTTGATGTTCAGGTTCCTCCAGCTGGAGTTAAGATGTTCCACCTTTGTTGCAATTTTCTCTAGGTCCTGAAGGAGAGAAGAGAGAACCGGGTGACAACTTTGGAGCTGAGCAGCACTTTTCTACCTCAGGCCAATCGGAACAAACTCCTGCAGTACATCTTAGGTTACACCCTGCTGTGACAGAGACACCCTTCAGCCCAGCTCAGACCCCAGGCTCCTTCCAATAAAGGGCTTCTACTGGTTACTTCTAAACAATCCCAGGTGCTACTCTGTGGAAAGCTTTACCAGGAAGTGCCTTCACGTAACAGCCGCTAACTGTTAGCTGTTAGCCGGAAGAGACTTGAAGCCAGTCTTCCCTTTTTGTTCCAGTCTATGACTCCCTGTCTGAGAACTGTGCAGCTGATAAAACACATGTATCATTCTTTGAAGAGGTACCTCTAGGAATCATCCTGTCTTTGGGAACATTGCCAGTGAAGTCTTGAGGTTTTAATATGATCAAGATTTTATCAGAAAATATACTCAAGCAGGTTAGTGAATAAGAATCACTTTTACAGCAATCCGAACAAAGCAAGCTGCCTTTAGTCTATACAAGTGAACAAGCAAAATATGCATAGAAAATAATGGTAAACATTACCAACAACAAAGGCATTTTTATGTTTAACTCTTTCTGCTTGTTTGTAGAACTGTTGTATTCTCTCCAGTGCGCTCCACTATCATACCGTAGAAAACATGTAAAAATGTATTTTGAGGAAAGGCTAAATTTAAAACTAACTCCTGTACATAGGCCACAAGAACAGTGTCTCTCATTTGTAGTCCATTTAAATACGTGCTCTGTGCTGACATCACATTTAACAGATTTGAAAGATTTGCCCCTGCAAAATGCGTACATATCTAAAATATTTCATTAAAAAATAAATACATGTAAAAAAAATCTAATCCTTATAGACAGCTTTGGTCAGTTATACTGCACAGATACTGGTTAAAGTTATCAAAAAGATAAGTTCAGCCATGCAACAATATCTACTTTGCAAACAACAACAACAAACAAAATGTACCTGTTGAAAATCCAGCACAGCTGCAGCCTAAAATCACATGCATCTACAGTTAAGTGCATTCAAACCACTAATATCTAAGTGCATTCAGTTACACTTTTTGTCATAGGTATTGATGAAAAGTGACTTTGATCTGTGTGTTAGTGTACCACTGTTCTCACTTTTCAATGAATGTGACATAGCACAGCACCTACAATACTTACTACCAGCCATCACATCCACGTCAGTTTAAATGTAACAAGCTCAGAAGCTCTTTGGTCATGCCTTTCAGGGAAAGCAGAGATTGGGGAGAACCACCATCTTTTTTTTCTTTCTGTGTTATAATCACACTTTACAAAAGCTGTTATGGCATCACTGCTGAGTGAGCTATTTTGCTCCAATGGTTGGGCATTCGCAAGTCAGAGGAACTTCATAGTGTGATAAAAATAAATGGTACATATCCACCGTGTAATCCATCTGAACAAAAGGTCATGTCTGTAAAAGTTAGCCGTTTGTGAGAATAGTGTCTTTGTTGTACGTTCAAGATGCTCTAGTTGAAAGGAGATGATGTCTTTCTCCTTTGTTTACTTTTAAACGCAGACTGCTGTGAGGAGCAGTGATGTTTCTGTAAATGAAATGATAGTTCTTAACTGGGTCAGGTTTACCTGTTCATTTTTCTTGGTTATAGCTTCACTTCAGATTTTCAGCACCACTGTCTTACTTTCACAAAATCACAGTCTAAAAATGTCCTTATAATTTCCGTTTTTGTTTCTAAATGCATGTGTCAAAAAAAATCTAAACGTCAGACAGGTTGGGAATAAAAACTCTGTGGTAACAGATTATGTTAATCATGAAAATCTAAAACATACCAAAACTACATGCGTTAAATTAAAACTCGATAGTGAAACCTCACTGCACTGTATCTGTGCATTTAGCTAGAGAACATTAACCAGTTTTTTATTATTTTATTATAAAACGACACATCAGGACTCAATATTTAGGTTTTGTCCTACGTATGTAATTCTAAAAAATAAATACATTTTTGCATTAAGCATGAACATAAACGTTGGTGTACGAGTGCTCACCAACTGACAGGAAAAAGAAGGAGTGTGTTGGAAAGGGAAGAGTAAGTCTGAATAATTGTGGGCATTAGAGGGGATGCGAACCCAAATCTCAGATTGATAATGTGAAGACAGTGTAAATGTTAGAATTTGACATTCTTGATCTGTCGGGGCAATAAGGAAAATGGAAATTGGGTGTCTAATGGTATACACTGAATGAATATTTATATTGAAAGACAAGTCTGCAACACTGCTTGGTACAATTAACTTAAATGCTTTTTCAAATCTATGTAAGGAAATATCTCTGAAATTGGGGGGGAAAAAAGGTTACTTGTTAAGGATCAGTGAATGACACCCATAGCATGTTGAAGAACAGATAAGTATGTTATTTGAAAAGGAATGTGATCAGAGTGCCCCCCCCAAAAAATAGTCCCTGCTCAAGTTCAGCGGGGAACATTTTGACATTCAAAGCATTTCTGAGCCCACAGTCCTGCAAAAGTCCCCACGCCGGGGCGACCCCTCCGCCAAGATAAAAACCACTTCACGTACTGTACTGCATGTTTCCTCTGGTCGCCTTTAATCATCGACACTTCAATGTGAATTCTACTTAACCTGAGAATTGTATTTTACAATTTAGTGTGTGAATTATGTTGCAGAGAAAGATAGTTGTGTGTGTGTGTGTGTGTGTGTGTGTGTGTGTGTGTGTCTGTAGGGGATGAAATTTGTTACCTCTTGAATGTATCTCATCTGTCCCCAAAAAGGTCAATGTGATAATTATAGAATACTCAATGGAAGTCGGTACAGATGTGACGATCATGGGGATTGTTGAGAACCCGTCGCTACTGAAGCTGCATTAACAACATCCCTCTACGACTATGTAACTTTGTAGGATTAAAAAAAAAAGAAAAAAGCCTGTATCTGGGGAGCAGGTGCCTTTTTAATGCACTGTAGTGCTCTTTTGTTGTGTTTTTTGTTCTGTTTTTGTGCATGTTAACAAAGGTTATTTCGTGTGGGAAAAGAACAGTGTAGATTGTAACTTTAAAAAACAAACAAACACACGAGCAGAGAACTTGTGGTTACTATAAGCAGAATCACCAGCTACTAAAAGAAAAAGTGTCACTTTTTTTCTTGCTTTCTCAGAGCAAAGCACAATTGGCATTATTGGATTTTGTTTTTAAATAAATTAATGATAGATTAACAATGATCTCTTGTCTGTCTTTTTATTGATTTATTTCCAGCGGGGGATGGGACAGTAAATATTTGGGTATCAATGTCAGTGTCTTCTTTTGCTAAGTATTGATGTTATCCTTATCTTCAATCCAAAAAGGTCAGATCCACAAATACATATTGATATAAACAGCTTAGTTTAACTCAGGTACAGGTGGTAGGATATTGTTCATCACTGCATGTTCATGTGTCTCCATTTTGACAGATTTGGTCAGGCTTCTTGCAGCCACTTTTTAGTAATTCATTTAAAAGCAGTTAATAGTTTCTTATTTCTCTTGCCATAATGTTTGTATATTTTTTAGTTCAGAGTCCAGCATATCTACCAACACCTCAGCATTTATTCTTGTTTTCCTCCCGTAGCGCCTTTTCTAGAATGTTTTAAGTGCTACAAACACATTTCTGCATTAAAAATCAACTATACTAGAGCTGATTCTTAAAGCAAAAAGGCCAAACATTCTCTGATAAGGATTTGATGCTTTTCTGAGTCAGAAGTCATTACGTGCCAGGTTAGGGAGGAAGGCTTACTTGTTTTGGTCGGCACATGGGAGGACAGGAGGAGGATATATGAAGGCCTGAGACGAGCCCGAGGCTTCTGTGACCATGAGGACGCTGCAGAAACGACAGGTGTGCATCCTTCTACCAAACAAGCAGCACCTGGACTGTACTGTCAGGGTGAGTGGCCTCAAGGTCCCTTTCAATGTCTTATTCATTTATTTGTTATTTATTTATTTCATTTTAGTCTTTGATTCTAATGCGTCACAAATATACAGACCTCAGGTTTAATTTGACATTAACATTATAAATAGTTATCACTGATGTATTGCACAGGGGCTATACTGATCATTTCAATATAGTAATATAGAAATATTAAGTAATAATTTATCTTATTTATTTATTTGAAAGCTTCTGAAACTGCATTTTATCATATTGGGACTTATTTTATCCCCAAAACTTCTGGAGAAGGTCTGAAAGATGTTTAAGGGAAGATGGTTAACCTTTTTTATTGTTTAAATAAAGTAAGTCCTTTTAAATTTACCTTAAAAACAAAATGCACGACTAAATAAAATGATAATGAAACAAAATTATTATTTTATGAAAGTAATTTCATTGCAGACTTTACAGTATGTATCTGTTTTCAGGAAGGGATTTCTATCATATCAGCTTTGGACCAAACAACGGTCTAATATACAATAATTAACTAAATGATATGTCATCACAAAACTAATGCATCAATATGAACCCAAAGCTCACAGGATAGACCCTGAATATGCCCATGTATTCTTACGTAATTACGTAATTGTACATACGTGTGTGTTATAATGTGTGTCTTCAGGTGAGAGCCCGAGGCCACGAGGTGTTGAATAGTGTGTTGAAGCAGCTCGGCGTCGGTGAGCTGCAGGTCTTTGGTCTGGCTGTTCTCAGAGGTCAGTTAGTGTCTGTGTGGGAGTTCAAGAGGGATGTTTTGAATTCATTTATGGAGGGATGCTGGCATTCAGGGAGGCTGCTGCTAATGAATGAACTCAAGAGGGTGTCGTGGGCTTGTTTTCTCTATGTTCCTCAGATAATGAATACTTCTTTCTTGATTTGGAGCAAAAGCTGAGCAAGTACTTTGGCAAAAGATGGAAGAGAGGATCCTCAACAGTGAGTTGTTCTTGTATTTAAGCTCTCTGAAGAATTACCTACAGTCCTGCATGCATCAGTGTGCCTCAGTAAACTCATGGTGTGATAATGCATAATGTATTGCTTTGTATCTGGGGAGATGTTCTGTACAAACTTAATGTACATCAGGTTTTGTTACATGATTCCTGTTTGTTTCTTCAAATTTGAACAAGACTGTCTAGACAATAGACAATATTACTCTTTCACTCTGTTTAAATATTTATTCTTCATCTCTAGGTCCCATTCATCTTGTTCCTGAGGGTTCAGTATTATGTTGAGAGTGGGTGGCTACTATTGTAAGTTGGTCTCCCATCAGCAAACCATGAATGTTCCGCCCAATCAAGCAAAAACCTCCAATAATACAGAGACAAACTGTAATTTATTGTCCTATTTGGTTGTTTTAGGAGCAGCAAAGTGCAGCAGCTCTATTACACTGAGCTCAGGCAGAAAGTGCTGCAATCACAAAGCCGCCATCAGGAAGCTTTGTACTTCCAGCTGGCAGCTTCTGCACTTCAAGCAGAAGTCGGAGATCTGGAAGAGGACAGACATTACTTTCTTCCTGAAGACTACTTCCCCTCATGGGTAAAGAAAATACATAAATATATATATATATGTATGTGTATTCTTTTATATATTTAAGTACACTTCTATATATTACATTATATCTACAGTATATTTGTTCATATTTGATCAATTGAAGTTAGTAATTTTGACTTAAGTGTTAATAAATGTGTTTTAATCCACGTAAATGGTGAAATGGCTGAATGTTATAATAATCTTTAATGTTTGTTGACATTCAACCTTATGTGGTATAGTCTGTTTTTGAGCCAAAGTGACTCAAAATGGTGGAGGAGGTCGCATTAAGACCTAAACCTTGAACTTTTCAACAATTTTTACGTGTGTGTATGTAACATGCTTGTGTCCTCAGCTGATAAAGCGTCGTGGACGAGACTTCCTGCTTCAGCACTGCCCGGTGTTACACATGGAGCTGAGAGGTGTATCTCGCAGCCAAGCCATCCTGCAGTTTATAAAAGAGGCCAGCAGCCTGCAGGATGGACCGGTCACCTTCTACAGGATGAGACAGGCCAGTCAGACGCAGACACAGACTGTTTCAGTTAACCAAAGAAATCCTCCAGAATACTGTAACTGTAATGAAGTAGACAGTCAGGAGGTTGTGAGTCTGTTTGCTGTTGTAGCACAGAAAACATACTATTTACTGTTTTATATTCTGAACTTTCTTCATCTGTTCTTGTATGTGCAGGACAAAAAAAAGCTGAGAAGTTCCACCCTTCTCGGTGTAGCATCTAAAGGAGTCCATATTTATCAGGTGGGTCCTACACATTATTGAAGCATTTTGACTTGTAGATGTAAATAAACTTCCTGGAACATGTGTTATGAGTGTAAACTGATTGGGTTTTTCTTAAGGAGGTGGAAGGAAAGCAGTGTCTGTTGTATGAGTTCTCCTGGACGGATATTGATCGCTTAACTTTCCAGGTTCGTCCTAAAGAATCATGCCTTGAATATTGCCACTTATACAACATCGACTCTTCTTCTACCTCTCCGTTCGGCATTGATATGCTACTTCTGCTTTACTTCATTTCAGAGGGAAACCCTGTATTTTACAGTCCGCTAATTACCTGGTGTTTACTATGTTCAGTTTTCTTTCAAACCAAACAATAAATCAATTGATGGAGAAAATTAGTAGCATTTAAGACCTTTAAGTTATAGACCTATACAACATTGTTAAAAGCACCACGTCAACAACTACAACAGTAAAATCCTGCTTTTACATGAATACATGAGTCATAATAATCTAATGATAGTAGATGATTAGTACTTTTACTTAACTTAAGGATTTGAATACTTCCTCCACCACTGATATTTGGATTATATAGCACTTCTCTCTCTCTCTTTGCTCTTCAGGGCAGCAGGTTTGAAATCTCTGCAGTGGGCTCTCTGTGCCTCCCTAAGTTGGTGTATTACACTCCTTCAACCTTTCACTCCAAACACGTCCTGAGGCACCTCAGCGACAGTCACCGGCTCCACATCAACAACAGAGATGCGGTCAGCTACATCCAACACCTGGAAGACATGCAGGGTCAGCAATCTCCTCTTCATGCTCGTCATTTACTAGAACTTGTTTGTGAATTAAAATCTTTCATAGAGGGGCGCCCTGGTAGCTTACCTGGTAGAGCTGGTGTCCCATGTACCAAGGCTGAGTCCCTGCTGCAGTGGACGTGGGTTCAAGATCCAACCTGTGGCCCTTTGCTTTGTGTTATTCCCTCTATATCTCCCCTTTTCCTGTTTCTCTTGAGTTGTCCTGTCGATAAAAAAGGCAACAAAAGCCCCCAAATGTGTATATTGAAAAAATCATTTTACATTAGTATATAAAAAATATACATTGTTTTGTCATCATTAATTCATCTCAAACTCATCACAACAAGACTTTCTCTTGATTTGGTCCTTTCAATAAAGTGCGGTAAAGTCAACCGAGGTCTAATATTGTGACTTTTGTCCTGCGAGAACTGATTCTTCTTTCTTACACAATCACAATGAGTGTTTTTCTCTCTCTGCAGCCAGTCAGCTCCACAGAGAGGCCTACATCTGTGACACAACACGTCTAACACACAGACTCCAGAGCAACAGCCTCACATCCTCCATGTCCAGCTGCAGCGTCGCTAATGAAACGACCACAGCTTGGACCATAGAAGAGGAGGACGAGGAGGATTATGAGGAAGATAAAGTCACAGGTTGGCTGAAAGGAAGAGAAAGTCAATTTGTACTTCCCATCTTGTATACTCTATTCCACTAAAGGTTTCTTGGAATACAAAACAAATGATAATGGAGATAAATATAAATACATATAGAGAAAACAATCACAGCTGCTTTGACACAGAAAACATAAAATCTAACTTGATCTAAATCAAGAAGATACATTGAGCGTCTCTGTGTTTCCGTTGACTGTGGCAGAGTTTGAACTGTGTGTGGACGAACCAGAGGAGTTTCTTGTTGACAACCCAGCGGAGGTGCCGTGGCTGGCTGAGCTGCTCCACGGCGCGCCAGCCGATGGACCTTTGATGTTACCCTACTCTTATTGGGAAGGTTAGTCCACAAAGACATAGCCTATCTTAAATTAGCTTGATCATCTGTTTATCATTTCATAATTTTCTGTGTTCTTTTCATTATCAGCTGTCACGGTGGAAATGAAACAGGTGAGCAAACTGCAGAGCTATCTGATTGATCCAGCACAGTCCTTCATCAAAGGTTTCAGTGTTTTCTCTGATCTTTGTGCAGGTTCTGAGGAGGAAAGCAGATGAAGGGGTTTCTGTGGACTAATGTACAGCCAGAGGCAAGAGGGATTCATTATGTGTTCTGCAGCTCAGGAGAAGATCCCTTATGTCACTGCTCTGATGCTTACATTGCTTTTTAAATTAGTAATCATAGACCTAATAAATGATGTACTTACCTAATAATATCTGTATGTTTCCAGTGCAACATAAGCTTTAGTTTGAGCATGAAAAAATCTGTATTTTTGTTTTTTCAAAGTACAGTTCATACATTTATATTAGAACAAAAAGAGTAAAGAGTATAAATCATAACATTGTAAAATTTAAACATTAGATATAAGGATAATGAAAAGAGCTCTGAACATTTAGAAGAAATAAAAGAATATGTAGGAGAAGGGAAAAGATGTACATTCAAGTAATTTCAGTCTCTCTATTTTGAAACTTTAATGAAGAGTTTAAATGTACCTGAATATTAAGAAAGTGAATAAAGTGGAGAATTTGATCTTTTGATTTTATGTATCTGGAATTTG